TTTGGCAGGATCTGCCTTAAGCCTCGCTTTACAATGAAGCACCCGAGTAAAGGTATTTCCTCCGCGCCAAAGACGCACTTGTCCAAGTTGGCATACAAGTTATTAGTGCGCATGCTCCGCTCGCACGTGGTCAATGTGGTTATCCACGTCTGACTTTCCGTGCTCAGCACGACTATGGACGGATATATCGGCAAAGTACGTTTGAGCGTACGCCCGGTGGGGTCTAAACAGCTGCGTCACAAGACGATTGAATTTTGCTGGTGCGTTCGACAGCCCCTGGGGCATCACCAGCCACTCCCAGAGCATACCGCTCGGAGTACGCTCCGCTGTCAGCGGAATGTCGCTCGCTCTCATGAGCAATTGGTAGTAACCATCGACAAAGTCGAGCGAGCTGTACAGCGTACAGCCTACCACGTTGTTCTGCAGAACATCCTTGCGAGGAATCGGAGTTTGCGCCAGGATAGTGACCACATTTAGCTTGCCAATAACATGATCAATGCGCCACTTGCCGTTCGGCTTAATGACACAGAACATGGGTGTCGAGTGCGGAGACTTACGCTCACGCACCATCCCTGCCTCGTGCCTCGCACGGAAGAATGCGTCAATGACGTTACACTGCTCTCTCGGCAAAATGCCATTGCCTTGTCACGTAGTGTTTGGTTCCAGGAACCAGGTCAATCTCATGACACACGCATCGATCCGGAGGCAGGCCCATCGGTGGGTCTTTCGAGACAACGTCTCCATACTCCTTCACCACAGGATAGAAGGGATCCGAAGAATCTTTTAGGGTCGCCGATCCGCTTCTTGCGCTCAGCGCCTTCTTGGCGTCCTCAAGGACCGCGTCGTCCACGACGGATGAGGAGTTCATCTTCTTCTCAGGTCCCAGCAGGACCCTCTCGGCTAGCTCCTCTGCCTTCAAGGCTTCGTCAAACCCGGCAATGGACATCTCGTCCAGCTCTAGCAGAGCGTCTGCAGCGGGCGGAGTGTCAAGGCTGATGTCGCCTTCGAACGCACCCGTCACTACGTTCACGAGTGTGTACAGCTGCTCACAGCAATCACGTGACGCCTCGCCGCTCATCACGTTGGACGCCTTGTCCGACGTCGAAGACGTCACAGACGCCCTGCGTCTTCTCCTCCTCTCGCTCTGCGACAGAGCCCGGCCGGATGAGGGCGGTATGGCGACATCTCCATTCCCGCCACCGGGTGCAGCAGCACCATTACTACTCGAAAGGATACAGTGTCTCGCAATACACTCGGCTGAAAGCCAAGAGGTCCTTGACCTTCACACAGAGATCTACGTGGGACTTCACCTGCATCTCCTGGGCCACGCCCATGATGCCTCGACGCGCACTCGACCGCGACCCGCGGGCCACGCAGCGGTAGGTCATTGATCAGATTCGTACCACTCAGTGGATAACGCGCCACTCCGCGTTCGTCCTCACCAGGACCCAGCAGTGGGTCATTAACCTGACCTACTGCGCTCAGCGGATAGCGTACCGCACCACGTACGCCCACAGGGTAAACAGCACCCTCGTTGCTAGCAATTTCGGACATACCTATGGCCAGCTCTACGGCCGCCTCGGTCTCGTGCTCGCGCCAAAAGCGCTTCTGCTTCCTAGCAGAGGTGGGTTCATGACTCACCAAAGCTCCACTAGGAGCAGGGTGCGACGCACCCAGCGTTTTCGACTTCCAGTCGATCCATGACTCATGACGTTCCGGCCATGCCATGCCAAGGATGAGGTCATACCTCGCATCCAGGTCTAAGACCAAACAGCGTTCCACGCTATCAAAGTTCTCAAACTTCACGCCAAGGTCGACAGAGACCTTCGACACAGTTGCCAGTGTCCCCGTCGCGAGACGGACAGAGATCGTATCTCTCGTTGGCACTTCCAGTGCCTCAGCATACAGCTGACTCCCTTCCCGGGTGGAGCGACGGGCGTAGTTGCCCGAGGCTCCCGAGTCAATCCAGACTCTCCATGGCTTTGCAAAACCCTTCACGCTCGCTTGAACGACCAGCAAGCCCGGCTTGCACACACGCTTCTCGTAAGAGAGCGTAACTTTCTTCGGGGCTGAGCCTCGTTGCCCTCTATCTCTTCGAGGTACAGCAAAACTCCGTTCTTCCCAGTAGGCCGCCCCGAGCCTACTGGGAGTTGGTGTTTTCCGGCGATGCCCCGGAGGGTTGGGAGGCGCCGGAGCCTCGCGCTTCTTGCGCAGAGGGCAATAGGCCCTCAAGTACTTAGTGCTATTGCACTCAAATCATCGGCGGATACCGGCGCGCCGCCCCGCAGCAAGAAGCTCCGCTTCTTCATCTTCAGCACAGCTGAGGTCCATCGGCTCTGGACCGCTCAAAGAGCTTGCGCTACTAGCGCTCCAATCAGGTCGCGCCGACGTGAAGTTGTACTCGGCATTCAACGTCACATCCACCGTCTCTTCGAAAGCGTTAGAGTGTACACAGAACACTTCCGTTCGAGCTGTGCTCACACGACTTAAGGGGTCCAGAGAAGGACATTCTCTCCATCCTCCCCCTCGAGAGGTTTTACGCTCCCATGAGCGGTTTCAGTCTCATAGAGTCTTCACGCGTCATCGACGCCGCCGCCGTTGCGGCACTCATCTTCTCTTGGACGTGCTTCGCGAGCGCGTTCTCGTAGCGTGAGAACGATTCCAGCCTGGTGGTAACCGACTCTGGACCTTGCGATACAAGATGAGCCACGCCCTCCGGGTCAAGCAAGGCCATAAGCTTATTAAGCGCGTCCTGCTGCGCCGGGGGGAAATTCGCGAACACGGGATGTTCCATCCTCGCAGAGGATACAGTCAACCGGCTCAGGAGCCGGATTGACTACAAGTGCTACCAAGTGCAGCGGGGCTGCCGTAGCTTTAGCGTCAGAGAAAGACGTTTGACTCAAATAGTCACTAATACTAAGCTCCTTATCCAAAGGACACTTACAGCCCAAGACCAGGGCTCAAAGTTAATACCTTAACTTTTGTTCTTCAAAACCAGAAGTGTTTAATTTACTATTATTGCGGCCAAGCCACCTAGAGGTAAATGTATCTCTTTAACTATCTTGAATAGTTAAACCTAATCAGATGCATAACGTGTGGCTTTCAGCCAACGTATTGATAGACCTTGTTAACTCTCCAACTTATGAACTGAGCGTTTCTTAACTCTTCGGGTATTCGTACCCCTGTGTGTTCCACACCATGTAACCCCGCTACAACGAGGGCAAGTACGAGCTTTTGCTCCGGCGAAACGAGGCTAAAGATGGTGGTAAGGATAGCAATGAACCAGAACGTGGTGATAGTGAAGATGACGATGATGTCATCTCGTAGGGCGACGCCGTTGACATGAATGAGGCGTTCATGATGAAGCGTTCGTCGCTTCTCTGATGGTAGGAGAGAACTCGCTGCGGGGGGCGGTAAAGAAGCAGCGCGAGGCCAGTACTTTTACGGATAGCGCTTCACTGGATCGGCTAGTCTTCGAGTCGTAGATGCGAACAACTCGTCGATAAATGATATCTACAACATTAGACTCATTCTCCTCGGCTTCCTCGTCATTTGGCAAAAGCGCAATGGTGCCCCGCTCACGTGGCCGCTCAAACAGTATACCCGCTCTCCTCATCTCGTTCAACCTTCGGACCACAGTAACGCTTGGTGTCGGTTCGATCGAGAACGCTTTCGCCGGCGTACTCTCGTTTGTGCAACAGGCCATCAATTGATGTAGCCATTACCCCATTTTTTTCCAATCGCAGTGCGTTAAATCTCTCTTTAAAAGCTCTTGACAAGGTTATTCGTGGTTGTGAATGCTGGGTATGGAAAATCTGCCGTGGGGAAAACCGACTCGACAACCATACCTTCGCAAATCACCCTTTGAATGATAAATGTCCCATGGACTGCGACCATTCCTTGAACACGCGCCTCTTTGAGTTGCAATAACCTTAGTCTCGGCTGTAGCGTAGTGAAGCCCGGTCTCGTTTTATGATATCGTCTTATCGTCATGATGCTCTCAGGTGCTTTGGTCACCTTATGGTGCTGGCAGCACCGGTTTGGTGTTTTCTGTACAGAAAACGGTGTTGGGGGTACCGGTAGGGTCTCTATGCGAATTCAGTGTTTTTCAGATCCAGTTTGAATAGCGTTTAGAAGTCGAACACAGCCTTAGTTTGATTATCTGTATGCCATTAACCCGTTTACTAGCCTCTGAGATTTTTTATACAGAAGCTCGGGTGCGCACAGTTTTGCTTGGCACGTTTTGCAGGTTCGACCACAGGATCATTTTTATAAAAGCAGCAGCTCATTTAGTATTGCAGCTACTGAAGTGACAAGCTGTTATTGGGCAGCCACGTGCTCCAGAAGTTCCTCGGTCACTTCTAAGTCCTTGTCGGCAAAGAACTTCAGCCGCGAAGCATGTGCATCAAGTTCTTCGCCGCTCACAAGGTGCTAGACCTTAAAAAGGCTATGTGGCTCCGCTGTAGTGACCGAGTAGGGACCAATCTACGTGACGAGTAGCTTTGTTTGTCTCTTCTCATCGACACGTGATCGCAGTACATAATCGCCCACGTTGAAGTTGGCGATATTGTCGCCACGTTCCTTTTTCTTGTTGAGCAGTGTCTGCTTGAGACGGGCGTCTGTAACTGCTCTGTGCATGTCTTTCACACTAGCTCGCAATCGGGCCAAGCTTTCTATCGTCCGAAGAGCGTGTTGGCTGTACGCCTGAAGCACTTTCAGGCCCAACGAACACTGCTTGCAAAGGTGGGGGGGGGGGCGGGTCTAGACCGGTGAACAACTCATCCGGTGTTTTCTTGGCCAGTGACGGTACTACAGTATGGTTGAGGCTGGCCTGCACGACTGGAATTTGCCTGGGCCAGTCACGGTGGTTGATCTTGTAGTCTAGTATCAGAATCCTTAATACTTGCAATATATGACACGTTCGACAGACCCATTCATCCATGGGCTTTATGTTGGCGAGAATATTTGCTTGCACTTGAGTCTATTACAAAGCTCCTCAATCACTTCGTTCTTGAAATGAGATCCTTGATCACTGATCCAATCTTTCGGAATGCCGAAACGGCTGTGCCACTCCATAATAGCATCAGCCGCAACGGTACTTGTAGGTAGCTCACACTTAACCAATTCACAGTAGTGACTTGCATCATCCTTCAGCACCCACAGATATTTCAAGTCACCAAACGATTCACCAAGGTATAGAAAATCCCAGTAAAGCGCTTAATTTCGCTCGTTGGCCCGGTAAGGCTCGCTCCAGGGCCTTGGCACTATCTTCCCTCCTTTAACGTGATGACAGAGTAAGCAACGTTCCAGAAATTCGTCTACGCATTGGCGTAGCTGAGGCACGTGGAAGATGCGTCCCAAATGGGCCAGCATCGCGTCCCTTCCACAAAGGCGTTGAGGGCCGCAATGTGCTATAACACACATGCGTTGGAGAAGTTCAGTAGCATCTGTAGGGACCCACAACTTGTTGTCTTTGCTTTGGACCCCGTCTTCACCTTCCTCTAAGCCGTTTAGCACGTCCTCGGATCCGACCTTGAGTTGAGCAGCCGCGATAGTGTCTAGTGTTGGCCACACAAAGTCATCCTGGTCAAGCGGCCGCAGTAACAGTCGTTCGCGCTGGCGGCGTGTTGTACTTCGCGTAGCCTGGTACAGGTCGGCGTACATGCCCAACGTGATACCCTGTCCGCCCAAATGTTATCGTCTCCGGCGATGTGATGTATCTCATACCGAAATTCTCCAAGTCTCATTGCCCATCGAAGCAACTTCCCGCGTACATCCTTTTTCACAGTGTCTTGTGGGGCGAACACATGGATTAAATTGCGGTGATCACAGTGTAATCGAAAGCCCGTTGGTCGTAAGAGGATGTGGGGTAGTTTGTCGCACGCTGCAACTATTGCGAAGGCCCCCTTCTCAAGCACACTCCATTTTTCTTGTGAACCCGTGAATGTGCTACTTAGACAGTGGAGCCGTCGATGAGTTTGCTCTGCAATCGGTTTGCCCATTTCCCACTTCTCAAAATCCGTCACAATAACACTTCATGCTACGTCCGAGGCGTCTGTGAATACAAACAGCACGCTTTGTGGACTAGGGTATGACAATGTAGCTGTAGTAGCTAAACAGTCCTTGACTTTATCAAATACAGCTCGTTCCTTGTCTGTGAAGGTCACCGGTAGCTTTGCTGCAGCACGCTTGATCCGTTTTCCACTTCCTAGTGTTACATCAAGTCGCTTCTGTAGTGATTGTACATGACCAGCATAGCTAACCAAGCTGTCTCGCATCCAGTTACACGAGCAAAGCAATTGCTGCAATTCGCCTGCATTGGAAGGCAACGGCATTTTGCGTAGAGCAGCGACTCGTTCCGGATCATGATGAACGCCATCTCCGTCAATAAGTTTACCCACCACTTCACTGAGACGACTTCGTGGCGCTCAATTTGATGCCAAACTCGTCCATCAGCGAAAAGAGCTCGCTCAACTTTTCCAAATATATATATCCACATCTTCTGCATACAGGAGCAGATCGTCTATCCATATCAAAAGGTTTTTGTGAAGCAGACTAGCGAAACAACGCTCCATCGTCACTTGGAAGTGTAACGCTGCGTCACTGCATCCCGGTGGTACACGCGTTGGTGTATACACATTGGCGTCCGTTATGTAGCTGAGCGTTTCCTGGCTGGCCTTAGCCAAAGGTAGCTGCCAGAACCCTTTGATAAAGTCGAAAAGTCCGAAGAAACCCATGCCTCTGACGGGTTCCGTGATCACGTGCAAGATCGGCATGACACCTGCAATGGGCTCCGTCTCAGCGCTAACCGGTCGATAATCACTTGTCTGTCAAAATTCATCTATGCCTGGTTTCTTAATGGGTAAAGCTGGGCACGCCCACCGACTAGAAGCGTTCTCGAACACCCATCCGAAGCGGACTAGTTCATCGTTGTATCCCTTCAGAAATCTTCTGATGTGCGGCGGGTATGCTCTTTACTTGCATCGAAAAGGTTTCGCATTCCTCCTTAGACGGATCTCTAAAGGGTCAACCTTAGCCGCTTAATCAGGCCCAAGATGTAGCCTCCAGATGTCGTACATGTACACAATCGTACGAAGCCGGTCCTCCTTCTCTGCAGGAAATCCATGTTCCAAAGCGTTGGCGATCATCCCCTCAACTGATTGCCGAATCTCATTGTCAGGTGAAGTTCCACTGCAAAAACGCTCACTGTACTTGATCGGGGCGCAGTCGTCTGTCAGGGTCTGCTTGGCCAATTGTTCCAGTTGTCTATCAATGCTGATTCCCAAATCACTGATAATATCTTCACCCACGATAAATCCATCTTCGTCTTCTTCGATCACTAGCACTTCGTACGATTTAGCTGGCCTCACAGGTTCAGCCGCAGGGTGCATCATGAGTTGTAACAGCACAGACTCCTTTGCCTGAATCGTGTGCTTACCCACTGTCTCGCATACAATGAGTATCTCCAGCAAAGTGGTTTTCACAAGTCCACCCAACTTCTTAAGCTTCATCAGGTAGCGAGCACTGATGATGCTTTTCGCGGCCCCAGTATCTGCGCAATAGGGCATGGACAATCTCTCTTCCAATATGATAATCTTCGCTTGCTCCAAGAGACAGTCCTTGATGCGCTTCAAGCTTCACGCACCAGTATTGTGGTGTTCGTGCCCTTATTGCTGTCACAACGCTCATGCATCCTACGTAAGAGGTCTTTCGTCTCATCATCTGTAGCGGTCGGACACCGCGTAAGCCAGTGGTCGTCTATGCACTTAAGGCAGCCACCTGTTGGAGGCTTGGAGCTCTTTTGCTTTTCAGTACTCTGCTTACGAACAATAGCTCTTGCTAGCCGTTTACCGTCGGCTCTCTCCACTTTCCGGATTTTCAACCGAGGTTGAGACAGGTCACTGTCGTTCGGGGAGTCCTTCCTCCTTCGATCGCTGTAGTCATTCGACCGCGGCCGCTTGCGCCGCTGAAAATCGCGGTTCTGCTCAAGAGCTTTGGCCAGTATGAGCTTGAACAGCTCTTTCTCACTATCTTTGGCTGTCCTGACTTGGTACTTGACTGTGGTTATCACTTCATCACGCAGGCATCGCGGTTGCAATGACTCCATCAGCAGTTTACATATTAGCCGAATACCTTCGTTTCCAGTGAACAATTCTTGCTAACCTTACTCTTCAACAAACTCTCTGCCTCGAGCAAAGAATTGCATGATGCGTTCTTTCACGTCACTCTCAGTCATGTCGATCGTGAAGTTTTCCTTGAATAAAGCAGCGACGTCAGGAACAGAGTTGTTCTGGACGGAGGAGATGATCTCGTCAATTTTGGTCCGTATGAATTCATCACTGACAGTATCAACGCTGACGTCCCAGTCAAATGCGGTTGTCAAACGATTTTTTCACGCTCACAATCACTTCTGCCATCTTGTCTGCGTCGTTCTTGCATCGCATTGCCACCTCGTCCTCGTTTTCGCGTCGAGTGTTCGCCACCGCACCAGGTAGGCGTGCGAAGTACTCTTCAGCTGGGGTGCAGCAAGTGGCATGAATAGCACCACTGGTACAGTCGAACTTCCGTCAGAATCTGTCGCTTTTGGTGTCTGAAGCATCGGGTTGCTATGCGTTGCTCTTGTCAGCTTTAGCTTGTACTGCTAAAGCAATATTTGTAGTAGGTCACGCTCAGAAGAAAGCTCAAAGACACTCGAAGAAAGCTGGCACTTCCTGTAAAGCATTGTCGCCGATTGTATTGAGCATGTCGACTAGCTGTCAAAAAAGAAATTAAGAAACTAAAACATGTACCTCGACTTGCTCCGCTACACTACCATCACCAGCGTCCCAGTGATGGTGTTCAGCTCGTAGAACTTCAACTTGTACCAGCTTGAGTAGACGAACAGCCCCAGAGAACAGCAGGCAGTTCTGATAAGCGACTATGACTTAACAAAAGATGCTCAGCTTCAACTTCATTACTCGCTGAGCCACATCTATATGGCTGACTGCAACCACATGATGCTGGTCAACATCACTGACGTACTCGACGGCATTGTGTGGGCTCAGTTGGGATTTTAAACCACGATTCACTACACAAACACAAATTTCACTGATGGGCATGGCACATCGCATAGACATTATATGGCAAAGCGAATATCAAGCAATTTCCATACATCAGTAATACGATCTGTAAAGTACTGATCTTTACGTTCTGTCAAAATATCGACGGTTACTGTTTTCACATCTACTATCCACCGCGTAATCAGCGACGATCAAGTTTTTCTGAGAAATCGGTGTGAAATAAGCAGACTCAGATGAAAGCCACGCGTGAAATACGTGTTTTTTTATCTTAGCACTTGATGTTCAGCTGATTTGGACCAACTACACGAGCTTTAGCCGAAATGTACGAAATGAATTCGCTCTCTCCGTGGAATTTTATCGTCCTAAATGTCCATTCTCCATTTTATTGTATAAATGCTTGAACACAGTGGCGCGAATGGACTTGTAATAAACAATGCGGCATTTTTCGAGGCATTCACGAAGCTATTTCTGTATCTGGTACTACTTGATGTGAATCTGTTTTAGACACCTACTTGCGGATAATTTGATTTGTCCGCGGTTCTAATTCCAACATCTGTGTAAGTGGGGTTCTAACTGTCATTTATGTAAGCAACGGGCAGATGCTACGGCTGTGAAGCAGGCGCAAGAAGTATATCAACGCTTTAGCGGCTTACAGGGCGGGATATATTTTACACTATTAGTATGTGTCAGCTCAAACACGGCTCTAGCTCAATTCGCGCGCAATAGCGGTTAAAAAAAATACCAGGTACTACCACTTAGTCACACATATGTACCAATACGATTTTAAAATCCACTAGATAAAAATCAGTACAATTGCAGACAGCATAACGTTCCAATTCGTCAGCCGCTTAGTTATCGTAATACTTGGGACGATAATGCGTGAGAAAAAAACTTAAATTCAAAATTTGTATTTAGCGTTATCGAGATAACGTTGGCCTATTGATTTTCGCACTTAACCGAAACAAAACCATTTTTTGTAAACTTCCATCGAAAAAACTGTAAAACTACCCTTATTCAATTGCTTTTAACAAGAGCTTTTAAAAAACACTTAAATCTCTAAAATTGAAAAATATTGAGCTCACAACACTCCTAAATGTATCGTCATTTCGAGGGCCCATAAATGAAGGTAATATTTTTGAGCGACCACAACTTCTTCAGTTTTAAGCATTCCGCAGCTTATAAGGGCTCAACAGATAGAGGAGATGGGGTGCTTAAATCGCGATTCGTACTTAGGTTCATAAGTATCATTTTGTTTTGGGTTGTCTCAAATGTGAATACCAAATTAGATAAATCTGTATTTCACATTTCAAAGCTTCGTGCAGAGCAATAATTTTTTTTCGAAACTGGACTTATTTCAGGACGATGTGAACAGCATATAGACACAGCAGAGGTCAGAAGTAATTGCGATCCCAAGAACTAACCTGGCAGCCGTCGTCAGACCTACCACAGAACATGATAGCGACTTTTAATGATGAGGAGCTTGGCGTGGCTTGGCCAGTCGACTATCGGGCCAGCATACTAACGGGGATCATGGCAGTTGACGGAAGGCCAAGACATAGCTAGATATTGTTCCAATATATTTAAATTGCGACAATTTTTATGATTGGGAGTGCTCATATTGGAATTTTTATTGCGGCAAAAAATTGCCATTAATACAATACAGTATTGTATTTTTCGACCTCTGAGACACAGTAA